CAAATTATAGAATTTTAAGATTATGTATATTTGAAAAACTAATTATTCTTTTTTCTAAAAAATTGTTTTTGTTTTGGAATATTATTATAGACTGATTTTTATAAATAGACAAAATAATTGGAATATTATATATTACAGTTTATGCCTATTGACATGTCTGATTGGCGCCGAGATCTGGGGTTACTGGCGCGATTTAAAAGATGGATGGGAACATAGTACCCGACTTAAATCGCAAAACGCAATAATTGTCACTACCAGCGACGTCGTGGGTGTAATGAGTCTCACAGCTGCTTCTATAATTGGTTCGATTCTGTGCTGGAAACACGTGCAAACCATCATCGATAAACTAATCGATGTAAGTCTTACTTATTTAACTGTTATTGTGATTATTTAAATCGTATTTGCATTCATCGCTTGATTCATCTCTCGATCAAAGTGCGACGAGAAGTTGGGGATTGTTTCGCCGAAGAAGATTCGGCGATACACAATCCTCTTGACGCTGAGCAGCCTCTTTTATTCCATTCTCATCTCGGGTCTTGATATCTACACATGGAATTATGAAGTGAAGCTGAATAAGAAAATGAATGACAAAGGTCCGATCAATTACGTCCCTCTATATTTCATGTATATTGTCATCATCATGATGGAAGTCCAGTACGCTATTGCTACGTACAATGTGTCCCAGAGGTTTTATAGACTCAATAAGAGTCTAGCGAATATCCTTAAGAGTGGCAAGATTACAGACCAGTTCAGAAAGGATCTTGGATTAGGTACGCATCGTTACAATTATGATCAGCTTTGTCACTTTTTCATTTATAAGTTTACATTTTTTTCTTGTTCCATTTTTTCTATTTCTTCATGCTCTACCTTCCTCTTTCTCACATTTTTTTAAACTTGGAATTTATGAACTCCTTAGCTGGTGACTTTCATAATCAAGGCCAATTCGCTACATATATTCGGCAAAACATGGAAAGTACACGAATGTTTCGAAAATCGAAGATCATAGATTCTTCTGTCACAAATGGTATAATCCCATATTATGTATCTAGAAATATATTCAAATTTCTAATTTTTTTCAATTTTTCTACCATGTTTATGAAACAATAAATAATAAGATAAAAGTGTATATATAAAAAAAACACGTGTGTGTGTGTGTGTGTGTGTGTGTGTGTGTGTGTTATATATATATATATATATATATATATATATATATATATAT